CAATTAAATACAAACTACTCCACTTTCTTCAATATAATAATCTATATAACTTAGCTAGTCATACACAATCCTCTACAACTACTTGGCAAAGCAGCAGATATAGTAGTAACATTAACTATTAGTCAGGGGATATGTCATGCAAATCTAGATACTAATGTATCCCTTATATGAATAATCAGCACAAAAATCGTAAAGTTTATAATAAAAATCTAAAGAAAAAATTTTTCAATTCTTTGCCGCTTCTGAGTTCTTTTTACAACTTTGTAAATATTACTAAGATATTTTATTCGTCTAAATATGTAGTTAACAAAGGTTTAAAATATATACTGCAATACTCACTAGAACTTAGTCCATCTCAAGCTAAAGTTTGACAAGTTGCGAAAGTTGAGAATCTCTTTATGCCTGTCGTTTTCAGATTTTTTTAACAACTTGGTAATTATTATTAATGTATTTTATTTGTTTAAATTTATAATTAGCAAAGGTTTAATTATATTTTGACAATACTTATTACATAGAATTTAGCTTATTTCAAGCCAAAGATATACGTTGTGAATCTTTTTGTATTAAAAATTTTTTTTTGTTGCTTTTAGATTGTTTTTATAACTAGGTAAATATTACTTAAATATTTTACTTATTTGAATATATTATTGGTAAAAGTTTAAATTATATTTTGTAATACATATTAAAATTTAGATTATCTCAAGGATAACAATAACAAAATTATATATTATATTTACGAAAGTCTAGAATATATTTGAACTAAGTCTAAAGATTATAATAAAAAAGGTACTATATTTAGTAAAACTATTTAGAGAGATTTAACTACTTTATTTAAGTTGGGTGTTTTCATATTTATTAAAACTTTATTATTTGATTTATAGATTTTTCAAAATTGATAACTTATCATTATAATAATCTATTTTTAAGCAAAAGTATTTATTTATAACTATTTTTTCTTAAGTTTATATATTTTGTAATAATTATTTTTTAAATTTATATAATAGTTTTATTACTCAGCACTATAATAGCAAAAACATTTAATAAAAAAGACAAAAACATCTATTTTGATGATGATTTACCAAATTATGAATATCTTGATCCTGATAATGATTATGCTCTTCTTGATGAAGAAAGTATTACTGATTCTGCTAATGAAAAATTTGAACCTGGCACACCAAATACTAACACAACTACTACAAGTGAAAATATTGATGACAATATAATTGCTAATGAGAATGCTGATGAAAATATTGTAATTCCTGATAATTATCTTATACAAGATTATATACAAACAATGTCAAATATAGAAACAGAAAACTTTACAGATATTGATTGGTTGTCAAGCGAATTAGATGATTCAGAATCTTTGTTAAGTAATATATCAACAACTGACAATGATGCTATAGATTATCAAATTGATGATACTACTGCTGGTGCTAATTATAGTAACAAACAATGTATAATTACTGAAATAATTGATGGTAAACTTGAATGATGCTCAAATTCTGTAGCTCGACCATTAAAGCAAATGATGGGTATTTGGGAGTTAGATTTTAATACAGTTGATGAAGTTTTAAAACAAAGTAATCATACTTCTACCTTACAATTTTTAGGTGTATGTACGAGTTATTTTAATTTTGATTAGGATGGATTACATATAAGAGGATCAAAAAGTAGTACTTCAATTGGAAAAAGTATGATTCATAAAAGAAGATGTTTGTTTTGTTATAATAGGTGCTATTATTTTAGTAGAGGCGATAGATGTTCATTTCATTTATGGTCAATTATGGATCGTAATATACATTATCCATGCTGTGGTGTAAAAGTATGTCCAGTTTTTGAAAAAAAACAATTTATTCAATTATCAACTAGTAGTAAAAGAACATGTTATACTTGTTCTACTTGTTTTGAAAATGAAGGAGGTCATATTTTTCAATGAAAAGGAAGAGGAGCTGCATTATTTAATTGTAATAATGAACATATTAATGATAAAGCAAAATCGTTAGAACTTTTAGGTCAGTGGATATTTAGAATAGCAAATTTATCAGATGAAATTATGCAAAGTATACTAATTGAAGAATTGTGGCAAGTAATACATAATAGCTATTTACGAAAAAAAAAATATTCCAAAGATTCTAAAGAATATAATAAGACTGATGAAACTTTAGATAATAAAGTTAACAGAACTTCTGATACTAAAGAATATGATAAAGATGATAAAACTCTAAAACCACCTAGTTATTTGGCCATCAAAATTGCATTGCGATTAAAATAGTACATATCAAAGATGATAATTTTGTTATTACAAAAATTGTACAAAAAGATCCTAAAAAGTTTGGTGAAGCATTGGCACATATACTTTGGAATTCACGTTCATTTGTTAGAGAAAACAAAAGTGATTTAGAAAATCCTAATACATTAAACTCATATAGAAATGCATTTCCACCTGTTATAAAAGAGTTTATTGATAGCTTAATTATTTTTATACAAAAAAAAAATGGACAATTGTAGAAAGAAAACAATGTTAACGTCAACAATTAAAAGATTTTGATGATAAACGTGCACTTAAAATTTCAACATTTTTAATATCTGTAATTTTAACAGTAACATTTCCAAATACTAATATTTGGATAACACATATACTTAGTTCTCTTTGCCAAAAGCCAAATATGCAATCATCACTTTATGCTATTTTGTGTATGGCAAATGTAGTTGCTCATTCAGCACAATATGAAAGAAAAATTGAAAAAGATAGACGAATTTGCTATGATCCTAAAGAGTGATTATTAAAGGAAGAAAATATATTTAATATATGTGTAATTGATAATTTAGATATTAAGCAGAAGCAATTTTCGTTTGTTAATATTTTTGACAAACCTAGACAAACAGCCCATGTAACTTTACGAATAAACTTTCAATATATATTTCTTAAGCCACTTACTGAAATTATTGCTTGTTCAAATTATCAATATGAAGAATTTTGAGTAGGTGCATCATTATTTGTAGAAGAACAATTAGCAAAATTCAATCAAATTATTGAGTCATTTGTTAATTATAATTATGAAAATTTTGAAACTAAAGATATTTTAACAGAAATCCGAAATAATATTAATAGTAGGTGTATTTTATCACCGCCAGAAGTTGTAATTCTAAAGCCAGAGGATAATTCAAATTGTGACAAAAACGTACATGAAGCAGTATTAATATACTATGATGATGTAGAAGTTGGACCGCTAGGTTTAACAATTTGTGCAGATGAAGCTATTTTTAGACGTCTTTATTCTCTTCATTCTCTTCATCATAATCATTCTGAATTAAACTTAATTTTAGGTGGATGGCACACAAATAAAATAATGTGTACTGCGCTTATAAAATTATTTTCAGGCTATAGAATTTTTAATTTATCAAGTGTATTAGGTGTTCTTTATTTAGATAAATTAGAACAAGTTATTGATTATTATGCAGCTTGTAGAGTTTTTGAGCTATTATGGGTAGGAGTAGGTGTTGCAATTCATAATCATGCAAAAATAAAAAAAACAAGTATTGAAGAATTAATTGAAAAAAATAATATATTAAAAGTTTGGACTCTTTTTTTTTCAGTGAACTAGCTTTTGGCTTGGTCATCGGCTTGGAATAAGACATGATGATTTTGCAATGCAATTAGAAAATTTTATTGCATTTGCGCCACTATTTCCAGCAACTAGATGTCCAAATTATTCACAATCAGTTACATTTTATATACATTATATATTAAAAAATCCTTCTTTACATTCTATATTAAACTATATTGGCTCTGTTAATCTTACACGACCAGGCCATTATTTTGCACATGATGAAGGAATAGAACGTTTGGGTGTTAAATATGTAAAAGAAAATATTGGACAATATCTGGAAAATGAATATTTAAAAGCACAAATATCTTTTATGCAATGTGAAAAGGATAGACTATATCATGCAATTAGTGAATATATAGGAGATAATTTTATTTATCCTACTGATCGTAATATAAAATCTAGGAATGAATTTTTATGGATGCTAATTAATCTTCTTGAAGAATTATTTGAATCTTCAAACCCAACCCAGCATGATTTGCTTAAAAATACAACTCAAAATACTAGTGAAGGATTTAAAAATTTGTTTAATTGTTATGAGATAGGAAAAAATCACATGCATTCAATATATAAACAGGATATAACAAAGACAGAGAAACGTACAACAAAAGGACGTCAAGCTAGTAATGTTGTTATAGAACATTCTAGCAACTATAAAAAACAAGAATCAGAACGTCTTACAAAAAGAGCAAAAACAAATACAACCACTTTACCTAATATAAATGCAACTACTTCATCGAATATAATTAATTCATCATCACTTCAACCAAATGAAGAGGAATGCTATTTACAATAAAAATTAATAAACATCTTAATTATAAAGCTAAAATAATATCTTATTTATAGTCTTCATAAAAAGTATAAAATAGTTTCTTAAATAAATAATTTTATAATATATATATAGTAGTTGAATTTATGATTAAACTTACATAGAACATATTGCTTTGAATATTTTTGATGTAAAAAGTATTTTAAAATATTAAATTTATAAAAAAGATTATCGAAATTAATAAAGTTAATGAAGTACATTTTGTGTGACATTTCCCTTGACCGCTATATCTGGACTAACCAACCTCTTCTTCGTTATCTCAACTCCTTTACTGTTGAAGACCCCGATACTAGTACTCAAAGTGACCACAAA